GGGGGGGGGGGGGGGGTTTGCAGTAACTCCTTTGACCCTGTGGCTGTGACCCGTGAGGGGGCAAAGGACACCCGATTCTCGGAGGTGTTTCATGTTTTGCTCTTTTAGACTTCGTGGGACACTTGCTGTCTTTGCTGCTCTTAAGCACACTCTACGCCCACTGATTTTGCCTTCCAGTGGCATTTTGGAATTTCAAAATGTTAGCTGCCCACTTTGCCTCTACATGCTTTTCCTCTGAGAGGAGAAGGAATGCATTTCCTACACAAGCACAAAGGAAAACAGGCATTCTTTATTCCAGAAGTATTTTTGTGCAATGATGATTCTTAGAGGAGACTAGTAGGGGCTACGTGTCATAACTGCCACGATACTCAAGGGGAGGGAGGCTATAACAGTATGTGGGAAAGACTTTTACCATTACAGAGGCATAGGTGGAATAGTGGTATTCCCCTGATGTAAATGTTCCTGCAATAAAAGTGTGAGCAGCAGCCCATACGCTGTGCTTGGGTGCACATTTGCACACACACACACACTCTCTCTCTCAGGCAGGAACACAGCCGCAGCCCGACCACAGGTAGGCTTGTTTCTGAATAGCCCTGAATGCAGTCCTGAGGCACTGTGGAGCTGTGCTCAGTCCCGCAAATGAGACTGCTCTCCACAAGAGCCCAGGGAAGCTCCTCATAAACCCTGGGTGATGGGTGGTAGCCATCTTTCCTCAGGAATCTCTCTGCTGGGCAATGGGGAGACTTGGCTTTGTGAAGAGGAGAAAGCAGCGTGTTCCCTTTCCCAGGTTGGGTTTTCTCCTTGCTAGTTGGCAGGGTTTAGGCTCTGGGCTGCGATCTTGGCCTTTCTCCCGGTTTGCCTCAGCTCTTGGGGGAGCTGCCTTGCCAGCTCACGGCCAGCTAGCCAGAGCCTTTTCCCAACAGCAGTGGGGGTTCTGCGCCAGGCTTCTCGCCAGTGGGAGTGGCCATGCTGTTGGTACTACTGCTCTTGAAGGTCCCCCTCCCAACTCAACTGAGTCCCCTTCCTCAGCTGAAGTGTCGTAGTACAAGCTGATGGAATATCCCTGGAAATATTTGTACCTG